CATGGGAAAGACCGAAATGAATTTTCAGTAATGCATGTCATACAGATTGTTTGTTAGTATTCATTCACTACTTCCAGAAACAGAAAACATTGTGACTAAAGTAAATCTGAATGAAAAAAAAAATGCTTGAGTTTTCCCAGAAGCACAAATATAGTGAGTAAAACAAAAATTGGATCCATATGAATAATTCTGTGCTTATACAGGCAGGAAGACTCTTTATCTAGTGACGTTGTTCTGGCTCCTGAAAGATAAATCCTGACAGCTCACTGAGAGAGGGAGAGATTTGTTAGTCATTGAGATTGAGAGCAGTGTTACAGTGCTACCTTGAGGTACTGTGAATACAATAACTGCCATATGGCCAAACTGTGGGACTTTCTAAATGATACGTTTACATATTATTAAGAATTTTTGCAGCTAAACTTTTCATTGGGATCAAAGACTATGACAGAAATAGGTGATCATTTACTTCATTTACTTTGGTAATACCACAAAAACAAAGAAATATATATTAAATATAAGCTGCAACTATATAATGAAAAGAGCTGTAATGGCGAAACACATCTGGCAAACCCTCCAGTTACTTGCTTTTTGCTGCATCGTGCTTTGCAGCGTAGAGCAGTGTAGCCAATCACAGACATCTCTGTTGATTTCTTGAACGCAATGGCCAATCAGAGTATTGAATCCACTCAAAACGCCGGAGTTTTGTTTCAGTGCTGTTCTCGCGAATAATCCCATTTTAACAAAGAATAGAAATTAGAGATAAATTGTGCAGTGTCCACTTCATTGATTATAGAGGAACTTAATGAGCCCGCGATGAACTGAGAGCCTTTTAGTGGTTATAAAGGGTGCGCACTTCTATGCCATACATAATTCAAAATCTGAATAAAAGTTTTGTTTTTCATGCCTCTATGAGCACCAGGGGCCGCGTACACACTGCAGAGTTTGGAAAGCTGTAAAGTTCACTCTCAAAAATATAGGCTGTGAAAGTACTTGTGCATTAAGGCCAGGGCACCCTCAGTGATCTGGAACCGGGCCTCTTGTAAACATGAGTCACAAAAGCTTAACCACTAACACAATAATAATATAAAACAATACATAGCAATAAAAATGTGTAATATGTAGCATATTAAAGCGCACTACTCACCATTAAAATAATCGGAGGCGGTGGGACTTTGAATCTCCTGAGAACTTAAACCTTCCTTCCACTCATGAAGACACTTAGTTGCGTGATGGCGTTTTGCATGATTACACTGGTTACCGCCAAAATTTGATTTTGAGATAGCATGCGCAGATGAGCAAAACGTTTTTTTCCCCCCAAAGGAATCACGTAAGACAAAAACCTGTCTTATATGATTTAAACATCATGCTACATCCAAATTGCATATTGTAATTTTATTAGCTAAACAAAACTACTTCTGACCATAGACTGTGCTTCTAACACGTCACAAAAATATGCTATGGACCTTTTTCACATTTCCGGGTTTCTCAGCAGTGGAAGTCGTCATAGTTGGGTTAACTTAAATAGCGGTGAATGGGAGAGCACTACAAATATATTTTTTGCATTCCCATTTGCTCAAATAGCAAAAGAAAAACTCCACGATAGTTTTTCATGAATTTCAATAAAAGGGAAAACATTGAGAGAGACTGATAACGGCTGTCAGAAGAGAGAATGATGTCAAATTTACCGTCCCTCCCTAAGACGCTGCATTAGAAACACCCTCACATTAGCGTTAACTGTTATTTTGTAATTTGATGCAAAGGTGATATAATACAAAGAATAGTGTTATAAATGTAGATACATTTAAAAAAAAAAAAATACAAATATGAAAAACTTTAGAGGATTTACGATGCTGATGACCGTTAAACGCGTCATCACAGTCTTGTGAAAAGGGTCCATTGAAGAAGCTTGCTGCTGAAGACTTGAATAATTAATAAGGTAGATCTATTCGAGGATTAGGTGCTTTTGGGGGTGTGTTTAGTAGTCATGTATAAATAGCCTATAGTTAGCCTACACTACAAGTTCCATTTTGTGTAGGCATAGGCTATTTATGTACGTTAGGCGTTAATGCGATAGATATGAATTTTCGGTTAAAAGTGTTCCTCTATACTTCCTACTATTACTTTTGGGGGTTTGTACCTCACTCAAGTGCAATTTAAAACTGAATACTTCTATTAAAATGATTTCCAATGACAAAACAATTTGTACTTCTTACAATTGTGAAAAGTAGGTCTACTGACTACCCTGATATTACGGAGACGTCTATTTGACGTCTGCATTTACATCTGCAAGGCGTTTTTTTTTTTTAGAGTGTTTGCTGATCTGCAATACGTCTATGTTCCTATCAGATGCCAAATGGACGTTGTTTATGATTTAGAATGTATGTAAAATAAGATGTTTGTAGTAGATGCTTTCCAGATGAAGCGATCTTTAACAGACATCTTGCGTATGTGTGCTATCTAGGTACATTTTTGTACATTTTTATTTCATATAGGTAGGTGTGAGTAAACAGTAATTGGGAGCAGTTATGAAAAAACACACTGCAGCCAGCTGAGACGATGACCCACCAGGCTGGAGGAGATGGTCAGCTTCACCCGACACCACTCAGTGCCACAAACTGAATGTAGGCTAACTTATGTGTACCCAGAAGAAACCGGACTGCTGTGGTGTAAACTCAGTGAGTACAGAATGTCTGATAGTTTTTTGGTGTTGATGATGATCATAAAGTTTATTGCAGAGGTTCTCAACTCTGGCCCTCGAGGTCCACTTAGCACCGACCCTAATACCTAAACAGGCAAATCAAGTAAATACTTCTGTTAACCTTATGTACCTTAGATTGGATCCACCTGCACAAACACTATTTTAGACAACTGTGATAGGCACAAAGTAGCAGTGAAAATTGACCGTTTTGAGATTTTCACATAGAAACCATTGTCTAAAAATGTGTGGCCAAATGTCTTCTATCTACAAGAACCATTACACTATTAAGTATCTGACAGATCATCTAGCACATCTAAGAATCCATGTAGAAAGGGTCATCAGAAATCTTTTGTCAGAAGCATAAAATCTTTTTTTTATTCAACTTTCTTATTTGTACTTACACTGTCAACTTGAGAAAACAACATGTTGATGGTTTAGCATGCTTGTCACATCTTCTGTTAGGCATTTTAAAACTGATTTTTAACCCAGTGTTGCATATAATAAAGTATGTACAATAATAAAGTATGTACAATGGCATTTTCATAAATGTGTTTTTGATTGTCTCCTTATCAGCACTTTGACAGCCTAATGAAGCACAGAAACCAAATGTTGAACAAACGGGGTAATGTTTAATGGAGACTCACATGACGTAATTACTCACAATTGTGCAAATTATGTGTGCAAATCAATGGTAGACAAGAACAACATCATGTATAAGTAAATAATATAAGTTTATATACCGTAAGCAAGACAGAAATATCTAGTACGAGGTTGGAGGCAACAATGCGGGCGGCACTCAAATATTTGCGGTCAGTTTGTATGGATCAATGTTGGTAATCAATGACAATTTATATAAATTACGGTTCCTGAAATCTTTGCTGAGATTATCTCGGTATCGTATCTACTTGGTGTGCTTCTGTTTCTCCAATTTGACAATTTAATTGGTCTTTACCATACCTCTCTATATACTTTCAGTTCACTGCAATGCAATGATACCTTCAAAATGGCGCCTCGTGACGTCACACATAATAAATGCACGACTTACAAAAAGAAAAGACTTTCAGAGTCGACTCCCAATCACTAATGTTACGTTGTTAGAATACTTCAATGTTACGTAGGTTAGAATAATTAACTAGGTACACCTTCAGGGGATTTCGAGCCCCTGTCCCTTTAATCACTAACACTAAAGTGCCCTTTCAGTCCCGATTTCTACCGAGGGGGACGCACAATTATGCCCTCGTCATGCCACTTCTCCCCTGCCCCTCAGTAGGTCTGTGCACACCACTGGTGACATGTATAATGTGAAGTACGAAGAGTGTAGGTGAGGTGAGTCTATTTTTGGAAACAGTAAAAAAAAAAAACTTTCGTTACTATCCAAGGCGCCCCTTGCTTGCCACTCCCACCTTGCAGGAGTTACCCTTCTTCCAGCTTAAAGAGGTTCCCCTGGGGGCCCCTAATGCTAACCCCTCTAATCTGAACTAAAGGATAGGGTCCCCCTGCAACCCCAGAATGTGCATGTGAAGCCAGGAACCCATGTTACCAGTGTTCATGAAGAATCGCTCCATATGTATAGCCAATACCAGCAAGAGTCTCACTGAAGAATCAGCTAGATCTTAATGTACTGATTTATTTTATAGTTGTAATACCCTGTTTTTTTATGTTAGTGTAGCTTGTGACCACTAGAGGGAGGTATTTAATTAAAAACATGATCACTACACACAGTCTAAAAGTAAGGAAACTTACCTAACCCTAAACCCTATATATATATATATATATGGTCGCGGTGGTATTTTGCCAAGTAAGACATGTTCCAAACTCTAAACCCAATTCCTAAACCTAACCCTACCCATAATTTATTCCTAAAATCAGTGTGAAATGATCGCTGATTAACAAGGGTGTAGAAGCACCTAACCCTGATCGTAAGCCTAAAACAGACATTTCTTGAAAAGTTATCCCTCAATTCTGATTGGTTGATTGGATGTTGATCCAGGAACATGTTGTACTTGGTGAAATCAAGGTCACCATATATATATATATATATATAGTGCACAAACAAAATCCAAGTGAGATTTGCTTTAAATTAACTAACTCAAAAGCATACAGTTTAAAACTTCTTGACCTCTTGTCTGATGCGTGATATGTAATGCATGTGCAGAGACAGAACTTTGCAAGGACTGTTTTACGGAAACATGAATCTCTCCAGTGTTTATTGAATATATATAGTTATTTACATATTTCTCAAAGCACTTTCTTACCTTATTGAGGCAAATTGTTTTCAAAAATAAAAGTCACACTTCAAATTTATCAGCCAACCAGTTGCAGTCCAGTGGGCAGGGCTAAGGCTACCTGGCTACATACATATGCCTAGACACACACACACACACACACACAAGGGCTTCTGTGTATTTACCCTTACACACACACACACACACACACACATACAAACTGAAATGATTTCTGCTCTTCAGGCCATTGTGTCTAGAACAACAGTAATTGGGACGTGGACTGAAACATTGACATCACAATGACATCACTCCATTGACCGGTTTAAAGCTGATGCAGAAAACTTGACTGTGCTCTTTATTTCTCCATATTGATTCTTAACATTTTGCATCTTCACTTCGATTGGCTGATAGATTGATTGACTGATATATTTGCAAGAATGAGGTTATGAACAGTGGTTGTGCAGTTCTAAATCTCTCGATGATGACGTATAAAATCTAAAGCCGTACCTTTATATCCAGTGTCTGATTGGGGAACGTACAGTATATATAGTAGGAAGTCTGTGGACGTTTACGTTTTTTTCAGTTACAGTTTTTATGCAGTCTTTCGTTAGCTGCATCTGAAGTTCAAGGGTCACAGTTACATCACCGTATCTCACCGAAAAAATCTGACCTTGTCATGTTGCCATGGGCACATCATACTGCTTTGTTTGGATTTCCAGAGGCACCAATGATTGGTGAGCTGAATTTTTGACCTTTGCTCCGCAAGCTTGCAGGTAGGTGGCATTGAGTACTGTTCAAGTGTCTAGTTTCCATTGAGGGCTGAATCCGGATCTTTGACCCAGAGGAGCGGTGGTTTGGTTAGGGCTACCTGACCCTCTGTAGTTCCTCTCTGAGCCAGGCTGGTAGCGGCTGACCCAGTCTGTGCAGCAGCTTAGATAATTCAATGTTCTGATCCCTGTAGAATCTGGAGAGAAACACTCGTGACTAGAAAAGGAAAGAGTAAAGAGAACACATATTTTAGTGAGCAGAACAGCTACAGACTTTTGTATAGAATATAAGAGTGAAGTGGAACACATTTTCGTTTTTGGTACGGGTCCTGTAACAAACAAATACAGTGTTGTGTTGACTAACTTTGACTGGATGTTGTTAGTTCAGCTAGCTACAGTATTAGGTCTGGGCGGTATACTGAATATATTTTTAAGCAAGATGGGACAATACCATTTATATCGATATACTCTGATGTAGTGAACGCATCTGAAAAATAACAGAGGACTGCTTCGGGAAAGGAACACAATCCAAGTTGAACTTAACATGAGATTTGCTTTAATTTAAGCACTCCAAACGAACTCAAAAGCATAGTTTTTAATCTTTTTGACGTCTTGTCGATGTGTGATATGTAATGCATTTTTAGATTTAAGATTTTTCATCTTATGGTTGTATTCTTATCTGTAAATATTAGAAAGTAATGCATATCCATTTTGCATAAAGGTCAGCCTGTCTCTGTTAAACTTTATCCAACAGTCAAACAAATAACGCAATACTTCAGACTAACAAAAATACACTTTGCTAAAATATTTTGCATCCAAAAATTAAAGCACTTCAGACCTCTGTTTAGTAAATCACTGTTTACTAAAAAAGAAAAAAACACAATTTTATGTTTTATTTTTTACTGTACCGAAAACATACCAAACTGTGTCACTGGGACAGTGCCTTTTCAAAAGGTACACTTTGGGTTTTAATATATACATTTTAGCTACTAATATGTGGTTTTAAGGGACCAATATAGACTTTAAGTACAAAAGTGTAGCTTTTGAAAAGGTAACTCCCCAGCTTTTGTACCTTTTTTCTGAGAGTGTAGGCTTGGAATGACACAAGGGTGAGTAAATGTAAGAATTTTCTTTTTGTGTGTGAGGAAAAACAGAGAGAAGACAAAATCGAGGAACATGAAGCGAGAGTCAGAGTTGTTCTGTAGGTATCAGTTATTCAGTACATGAGCTACAGACATGTTAGCTGTTGCAAGATTGAACAGTCTGAGGTCAGAGTGAGTTTTTCTCTCTCTATGACCCATATTGCTCGATGATGGCATGCCTCTATAATACAGCTGTAATCATTAAAGATTAAAGACTCCATTTTGCTCAGAGTTTACTGTTGTTAGGTGGTACCTCAGAGACCATGGGCGGGTATTTGCGGCCCTTGCTCTTCCCCAAACACTTAGTCCTGCCCCCTTCCAACAGCTGACACCAAAAGCCCTTCTGAGGATCAAACCTGTGAAGAGATAGAGAACTCTTTACAATCTAAACGACTTCTTTCTTCAAAAACAAACAAACATCCTTTTAATTACATATTCATTGTAATATACAGTATATTGTACATATTGTGTATCTATCCATCTATCTGTATTAAGTCTCTCAACTCCTTTTATTTCTACACTCAGCAATGGAGAGAATCTGGAAAACACACACACACACACACACACACACACAGATCTGACTGACAGATGTCTGCTGTAACAGAGGGAGGTTATTAATAAAAGCCAAAGATTGAAGAAGCTGTCTGTGGTAGAGAACACATGCAGAGACTCACAGAACGACCAAACACACACACGTGTGTGTGTGAGAGAGAGAGAGAGACAGAAAAAGAAAGAAAGACTGAAATAGACCACACCTGACACAGGTAATTCTGAGTTCAGTGTTTTGGCATTTTATATCAAGAATGATAATCTGATACAGCCATTACATCATTTCAAAATACCATGATTAATTTTTTTTTCTCTTTTTTTTCTTTTTTTTTTTTACCTCAATTCATTTTAGGTCCGTATTGGTTCAGGAGTCACTGACAATATTTTATATATAATATTTTATAAATGTATATTTTATAAATTTTTAATATTATAGAATAGTATGCATTATTTAAAGGGGTCATCGGATGCCCATTTTCCACAAGTTGATATGATTCTTTAGGGTCTTAATGGAAAGTCTGTAACATAGTTTGGTTAAAATTTCTCAATGGTAGTTTACAAAACACATTTTTTACCCTGTCAAAAACAGC